ATTAAGAGACCAGTCACACCTGAACCTCATCAACTGTCATACATACAGACTTTATTTAAAGTAAAATGTATAGCATTAAAGAAAGTTGTGCACTTATTGTTTTCTGAACTTCTTTCTGTCAGGACTGAGTGCCATGCCTCTCTCTGAGGTGCTGATCCTGCTGCTGGGTGTATTCTGCGGCGTAGTTTTTTAAGTTTTTTAATTAGAAAGTCTTGTTGAGTGTAGTGTTGTTGTTTTTTTGTTTTGCGGAGAGAATAACTCCTGAAATGTTTCTTAGGTCTCACTGCACTCGTTTTTTTGACACTTTAACAGCTTTTATTGGTACCCATCTCCCAAGCATCAGAGATATCAGTGAGGTGGGTGCCTACGCAGAGCCGAAAGGATACTAAAGGACAGGAAGAGAGGCAGTATGCCGGTGCGGAAGCTTTTTCCCCTAAGCTATCAGACTTTTTAAACTCAAATTCATCCTCAGCACTGCCCCTCTGATTGTAGTTTATTTTTGTTTACCATCTTCATAATTGCTTTTATATTACTGTATATTGTCTGCTCCTGAGCAGAAGGGAGTTATAAACTCAATTTCACTTTTCAACCTGTTGTAATGTGACAAATAAATCTACCTTGTACCTTTCAGTGCCTCTGCCTTCACAGAGTGATTGCACCTAAACTGAAACACCTCGCAGCACTTAACCATCATTTCAACTGTCACTTCAGCTTTTTGGACAAATTCTGCCACTCAACTTTTTCAGTGCTTCAGCTCCAGGTAAAACTCCAGACTCAACATGTTAAGACTTTTAAACTATTTCAAAAGTTTCAACTGCAAATTTTCAGCAGTGAGAACAAGTACAGAAACTCTAGCCATTTCTACTCTTAATGCATTCAGTAGAAACCTACAACCAAGCACTAAAAATAAAGAAAGTTCTGCACCTATTGTTTTTAGAACTACAATACGATCTGCTGTGATTCACACACAATTTATTCCAATTTCTTTCAGTGCTTACATGTCACTCAACACTTCAACTGTCAGAGCTAAACTTCAACTGAGTCTTCCCTTCAGCACTTTTACTTCCACGGATCCAGAATCTAACAGACTCTTCATCTTTGTTCAGTGATTATACATAAACTTCAACTTCTTTTGTTTTCTTTTTTAACTTCTTACTTTAACTTCAACTGTCACATAACCTCTACTTAAACTCTTTCAGCGTTTTCTGATACCTTTTCAATACAGAGTTATGTTAAAATCTTCTAGTATATAGCTAAAATAATAGTTTCTCAGTTTCTTAAATCAACTTAGACGTGAATGGAAGCAGTAAATTCTAAATGTTTACTTGAAGCACGGGTGTTCGATTTACCTGGTCTGATTATATGAAACCCGTCACATTATTCACAGGTTTACAGCAGGCAGGACGGGTCAGTTGGAGCTGCAGCAGCAGGCTGATAAAGAGTCCAACAGCAGAAACAACAGTGTTCAGTGAATAATGAATAAGAATGCCTGAGGTGTTTGTTGTGTTTCTCCCCACAATTAACAGCGTGGACGCTCCAAGGCCTGTCTGCTGTGTGATTACAAAAAAATATCCATCCATCGTCAACCGCTTATCCTGCGTACAGGGTCGCGGAGTACAAAAAATATATAAAATACATTTCATTTTTCTCTGTATAATGAACTAGGAAATGTTCTTGTTAGTCAAACATATTCTGTTTCTTTTGGCTGCAGTTTTTCAGTAATAGCCTGAACGTTGTTGCAGAAGAAGTGGCTTCTGTCTGCAGACTTCTGTTCTCTGAAACCTCGTGGAGGAAAGCTGCCGGCTACTTGATGTGACACCTCAGTCTATATGGGGATGGTGATGAAATCTTCAGCTGAGCAAGTCTGAATGTGCTGAGTAAGTTATTTCTCTGGGTAAAAATAACCCAAGGTAAAACAGAAACTGCTGTCGGACATTTCTGGTCCTTATCAGATCAGGGTATCAGAAGAAACCTGAACATTTCAGCTACACAGTTCATCTTAAGACTGTGTAACAAAACCTAATTAAGGGAATTCAGCAGGGGCGTAGAATTTAATAGGGACAAGTCACTATCAATATACAGGGATTACTTATGGGGCGGCTGTGGCTCAGGAGATAGAGCGGAGGTAGAGCGGGTTGGCCGTTAATCGGCGGTTCAATCCCTCGAAGTGTCCTTGGGTAAGATACTGAACCCCGATTTGCCCCTGATTTGCCCCGCCAGTTTATGAATGAGTGTGAATGTTAGTTTCCGTTTGAGCACTTAAGCTCAGTGTATGACTGGTGGATGTAGTGTAAAAGCGCTTTGAGTGGTCAAAAAGACTAGAAAGGCGCTATACAAATATGGAGCATTTACAGTCTTATTCTGAAATGCTCTCTGTGGTAGTTGCTAGATGCACCCGTCAAGACGAGGAATGAAAGCGAGCTACAGAGAGCTTTGAAGAATGTAGTAAAAGCACAAAAAGGACAATTAAAAACAAGTCGTTTAATGTGCAGCAGCTACATGCTCCGCTGCTGAAATGCTTCTGAGAAGCTTCCAGAGGACTTTGACTTAGAATCTAGTGTGTTTTTGGTAGTTGTCATTCTTGTGGTGGTTTACCATTGAAACCATGAGTGAAGGGACTGTTTCATTTCATAAGAGCTGCTGAAATCTACCAGTACAGCGCAGCATGTACCGCTGTTGTTCGTTTGTGTCCACAACAATCACCTGAACTAAACTTCACGGTCCACTTAGGGAGCCCCCTACCAGCCGGGGCCCTGGGTTAGCCGCCCCCACGCACCCACGCTGCCTCCGCTTATGATTGAGACTGTTTTGACAACTGCTGTCTCCAAGGTCAAGAATAAACTGTCAAGCACAACTTTTAAGTTAATATGGACAAGAAGTCCTACAGGTGCGTAGAATCATCAAGTACGAAAAAAATCTACATTTCCATCTCAACAGAGCGAACTCCATCTGGTCTGTACACAGTGTCATGGCAATTCAGTTGAGACATTTCAGTCTGGACCAGACACAGCCCCCACTATTAAGATGCAGGCTGTGTCTGAAACATCCTTGTTTGTTGCGTAGGATCAGAGCCTTGTTACAAAGTCTCACGAGGTTCTGAAAAGATCTTGCATGAAGAAGTTCATGCAGTTAAAAAGAGCTAATTGTCTTTCGGGACTTCTGCTGGCTCAGCTGTCAATCAAGCTTGTACAAGTTGCCCACTCAGAGGCTTGAAGGCTAAAGAAACACTGATATGCCTTTATCAGAGATTTTGACATTTGAGATTTTTTCATGACAAAATAAGTAAATTTGAATTTCACTTTGATTTTGTGGGACGACTTTTGAAGCCTGACCTGTCCAGAACTCTTCTCAGGCTAAGATTGAAAATCATATGTCCTATCCACATTGGGGTTATTGTCAGTCCTTAGTATCCTTAGTAACTGAACATTAGCAGCTGATAAACTGAAAAAGACTGATAAACTATATTTAGAGGATATCTTAGTGAATCGCTCCACCTGTCCTCTAGATCTCCCAGCAGACACAATAATGAGCAAAATCCTCCATCTGGCAGCTCGTTTACAGCAAACTCAACCCAAAAACTGTTGTCTGAATGTGCTAAATTTAATTTTGCTCTAATTAGATATGTGTCGAGAGGCAGCAGAGCAGGCTGGGCTGCCTGTGTGGTGATCAGAAACTAATCGATCATCAATTAGTCAGTCAGAACAGAGTATTAACTCCGGTTTGTAGACACAGGTCTGTCTCTAAACCAATAAACCTCTGTATTTAACATGTGTGGAAACAGAAAATGAGACGTAGTTTAAAGTTTACACAAGCATTAAATTGATTGCACTGCAGCTTCTTATTTGTATTGTCTGATGTAATATATGTTTGTAGTATTTATTTGTTGTTGTTTGGTTAAATGTGCTTTTTTTTCTTCAGAAGACACATTTCAGAACAATATTCAGATAATAAAGTGGAACCAAATCAAAACTTAAATCAAAAATTTGCTAACAACAGCGTATCAGTTTCTGGGGTTACAGGAAAGTCCTGGTCAGAACTGGAACATCTTTGTCAGTTTAGACTAACGTTAGCAGCTCTGTCCTGCTCTTTATTGGACTTGGAAGTTAAAGCTAGCTCTACCCTGTAATAGGAGGATAAGGATAATGTCATCTTTATTTCTGTGTCTTCTAAATAGATTATGGTGTCGATACTGACTTTTTACCTGTTGGTGTTAGCGTCCGTCTGTTAGCATGATGTCATGTGCAATCAAGTGCATATTTTAGACCCTTTTAAAGTGTTGTAGCTGTACAACGGGTCAGCCTAGGACCAACTCACAAAGATAATGTTAATGTAGAAACAGTTTCATTTTAGTTGGCAATATTGACAGACGCTGTATATAAAATTGCTGCTTTCAAAATGGAGCCCTGCTAGGATTTACAGTAATGCCTTAACCTTATCTGTTAGCTTGATTGCAATCACCACTGGGAGCTTCACCATCACAAACTACAGGATTTCAATACAGAATGTTTCATACAGAATGTGTGTGAGTAAATGCAGATGCTGCAGACAGTGTGTTATTTAGTAGTATGCAGTATAAAGCTGTTAAAATAATTTATTTTGCTAGGAGAGGCTTAGCCGGTTTCCAATTTTGGAAAGCGCAAGTAAACAATTGGAGGAAAATAAATGTTAGTACCCATTATAACATTTTTTTCTAATTAAATCTTGTGTAAGGAGAACAAGGCTACAGCCGATCTCTGACAAACATTATAGCTAGTTGCATTTGTCATAACAAGAAAGACATCTGGGTATTTTTTGCATAGGCCTACTGCAGATTTTGCTTTTGTTTGCATACTGCATGCTACATTTAGGCCAAATCAGTACGTACTGCTATATGGATAGTAGTAGTAGACTGTTTCAAATCCAGCCTGTGTTTCCAAACTCTGTTTGAGGGCTGAATATTAAATAAATAAATAAAACATAAATAATAAAACATGACAGTATATTATTTATCACACACTCACCCGCTCAGCTGACTGTGCCGTGCCAAAGAAGATAGGGATGAAGGCGAGCCAGATAATGCAGGTGGTGTACATAGTAAATCCAATGGGTTTGGCCTCGTTGAAGGTCTCTGGCACGCCACGCGTCTTGATGGCGTAAACAGTGCATGTGACCATCAAGAGGATGCTGTATCCCAGGGAGCAGATCAGTGACAGATCGGAGATGTCACACTTAAGGACACCACGAGCGTTCTGAGGATCCTGCGTGCGCTGCTCGCCGTAGTCCACAAAAGTGTGAGGCGGGTCGGCTGCAAACCACACAAGGACACCCAGCAGCTGAACAGAGATGAGCGAGAAGGTGATGACCAGCTGGGAGGCTGGTGAGATGAAGCGTGGCGCTGTCACTGCCTTCTTGCCCTGCTCGAAGATGCGGTGGATGCGGTTGGTTTTGGTGAGCAGCGCAGCGTTGCTGAAGCACATGCCGAGGCCCAGGAAGATGCGGCGGAAGGAGCAGACTACAACATCGGGTGCGGCAATCATGGGGAAGGTGATGATGTAACACAGGAAGATGCCTGTCAGCAGCACATAGCTCATCTCCCGCCCCGAGGCGCGAACAATGGGTGTGTCATTGTAGCGGACAAAGGTGACAATGACAAAGGTGGTGGCGATGATGCCCAGGACGGAGATGAAGACAGGCAGCAGTGCCCAGGGTGAGTGCCACTCCAGTTTGATGATGGGGATGGCCTGGCAGCCGGTTCGGTTCTGGTCGGGTCTCTTCTCGTAGGGGCAGAGCTCGCAGGTGAACTCACTTGCCTGGAAATGGTATCCCTCGCAGCGCTCGCAGTGCCAGCAACACGAGACGCCCTTCACCACTTTCTTCCTCTCGCCGGTCCTGCAGGGCAGGCTACAAACCGAGGCCGGCAGGGAGGAGTCGCCGGTGATCCACTGCAGGGCCTCCATCTGAGGGGAAGGAGAAGGACCCAGGCTGGTGAACATTCATCTTCAAACTGAGCAGCTGAACAAGATGCTCAGCAACATCATAATTATCAGATATTGACATCTTTTTCACAGGTCTGAGTCAGTACTGATGCTTCAGGCTCAGACTGGTGAAACTACCTGAACATGGGATAAACTCACTCTAACAAGAACATAATATATGGACTCCCACATAGAGACAATATATAATGTGAGTTAAATAAAGCCAGTTATGACACAATGCATTTTTTTTCTCTCTATTGAGAAAAGCGATAGTGGAATAACAGAATTTCCCTTCCCGGTCAATGGTTTGGTTGCAAATGTAAAGAACCGAATGAGTGAATTGCATTGCGGGTTTCATCACGGCCATCTGCGGTGTTATTATTTATTGCTTTATTGATGACGTTAAAAATAATAAGACCAGATCAGAAGGAATACAACGTCAATCCAGGGACTGACTCAACAAATGGTTCTTTATTCACCATTACCGAGAATGAACACTAGTCTCTAGAATAGTTTGATCATATCAGGTGTGTGGGTGTGGTTCTGCATCAACACCCTAAAATGGTAGAGATTTTTTGCATTCATGAGTTGAGATCGATCAGCAGGGGGAAATTCCACTATCGCTTTTCTCAAGATTGAGAAAAACCCCAAACTCTGGCATTACTGGCTTTTTAAAAAGTGTGCTACTGATGTGGTTCTGTTTGGTGCAGAACAAATCACTGCTGCAGGGCTTCAGACATGACTGCACTCCAAGGAATTATTCATCTTTTATGGAAATTATTAATCTTTTATGGAACAAACAACATGCTTGATTTAGTAAGTGGACCTTGAGTTGAAATCGTTCTGTCAAACTGCTGATTCCAAGGTCAAGAACGAACCTTCAAGCTAAAAGTTCAAGCAGTAACAGAAGTCCTAAAGTTCTAGGAAACATGGAAAGTTTTAACATCTACAATTTCATGGCAAACTCAGGTTTAAATGTCCGGAACAAACTTGTATGTGGAGAACTGCTGTTTCTAAGGTCAAGAGTAAAATCATGATTAAGAGGAGGATATTTTAATGAACACACTTGGGAGAGCTGGATTTGAAGCATCTTGTTCGCTCCATTAAACTCTTTAGTTCTTCTGTAAAGAAGAATAAATATTTCATCAAATATTTCATCAGACATTGCTACATCAATCAAAACACGACTTAAGTCCGACTTACAACCTTGTTGGCTAAAAAATGCCTGCCCCACAGTAATTTTACATGTCTCCATTACATGATTAGGGTTCGCCCTCACTCTGGTTGACAAAAGACAGAAAGACATTGATATTATTGGTCCTTACGTTTAGATGCAGCTGATTGGTCCATTGTCCGATGACCTTGTACTCTGCTATCGACCTGTTGTTGATCTGATACTGGAAGATGTCGTAGCGTCCGGGAGCATCCCCATTCTCGTTAAAGGTGACCGGAGTCCCTGCACTTCCTGTAAAAACACAGACAGATATTTATTTAGGTGTCTCTGTTAGCTGGGACAGTAATTGTATCAGCCTGACTCCACTAGGACTGGGCCGTGATACTGTAATAAGGTAAACCAATATTTTTATTATCATCATGTGACCAAGCTTGTGTTTTTAAGCTTGTGAACAGTAGCTTTTTGATGCTCGTCCGCTTGTCTCCTCTTCTATTTGTCAGAACTGCTCTTTCCTAGATCCCTCATTGGCAAGTGTGACGAATGTACCTTTGCTTTGTTGGCCTGAGTTGTGGCTTTTTGATTGGCTCCTGGTCATGTCACACAAAGTGCTCCTTCCTCTATATTTTCAAGAAAACGTGAGATGCAAGACAAACAGTAACCCTAACCATTGGAGGTGCGAGATGAAATGTGCTAGCACCAACATGTGTTTAGGAGCAATTTGTGGCTCTGCGTTTCGCTCCAGGACACTTCCACATGTGGGCTGGAGGAGAACTGAACCACCACATGCTCTGCAACCTCAGCTATAGCCACACCTGTTTGATATTTTATTCAGTGAAAACCTGTTACTAGTCAATCCTAAATAATATGAATCCATCCATCCATCTTCAACCTTTTATCCTGCGTATAGGGTCGCGGGGAATAAGAATCCAATAAAAATGTATTTATGAATATGTATGCAAAATATAAACCCTTATATGCTCTAAAAACTACATTCTGACCCCTCTACAAAATGGGACCCTCAAAACAAGGTAATAAGTCCTCGAAATTAAACAATAACAGAAATACGTCACTTGTCCTGCTACCTGAACGAGATTAATAACCGTTTCCTTGTCTTCTTATTGTCAAGGTTTGGTTAGGTTTAGTGTATAAAATCACTTGGAAGATCATGGTTTGGATTAAAATTACAATTTTGTAAAGGTTCAATGTCATGGTTACAACAATAACCACTTAATTAAGGTCGGAGAACGATCGTAGTCTGAGTTAAACGAAACCAGCGTTGACTGTAGGGTGAAATCAGGAAATTATTCCCATATTTTGTTGACCCATCCATCCACCTCCTCCCTCTCTGGACTTTGTTGCTCTCCACTAACATCAACTGACTTCCTACTTTGCGCCAGACGGTCCAGAGCAGTCACAACTACTGCAGTCTTTAGAGGCTTGAAAATAAACAAATGTTGTTTTGGGGCATTTGCTGAAACACATGATGCTGCTGTTTTTCTATGGAGCAGCCTCAACGGCCTCAGTTATCGTTACTGTTTACATTACCACATAGTGAACTATGAACCTTGGGGTCCCCTTAAAGTTTACAGCCCCGGGAGAAGTTACCTGCTTTGTTAGTAATCCAGCCTTACCTTGACTACTTATACAGAAGTGGGTGTCTGTGCTGTTTTTGAACCACAAAAAATGTCTTCAGTCTATGTCTGTGTTGTCTTTTAAAGCACTAAGATGTTATTTCCTTTAGTTTGGTTTTGATTTTCTCTCAGGTTTTTCTGGCAATGTGACAGCCGGTCTGAGTTATCTTATCACAGTTTTCCCAACAGCTTGTTACCACAACAACCACACAAATATCTTGTTGCCATATTGACTAAATCCATCCTGGCAAGTTAAAATCACATCATGTCTGACACTGTTCATACTTAGCCAGCTGTTAAATATTAATTAAAAAAAACCCATAGGAAAGCATGCGGAAAAAACATTTTTTACTTCAACTGGTGACTTCAGTTAGCATCCAAATTTCTGGTCTCCGACATAATTTCTCCTGAGCAAAGGTTTTACTTTAGGTTTATACTTATATTATCCTATAAAGTGGTTTCTCACCTGACATAGAAAATTAAGCTGTTTTATTCCATATAGTGATTTATGATGCTTCATTTTGTTTAGTTCATGAATCTAATGTGAATCTAAGTGACAATAATGTGAATCTAATTGAAAATGAATGTTTAGTTTACAGTAACAGCGATGAGGAAAGCTCAGAAAATGTTTCCACTGGAAACAAAGGAAAAAATAGAAATCTCTCAGACAGATTAAATAATTAATAAAAGAAAAATTACAGCGTTATTTTGCAGGAACTTTCTAATATTCATAACTTCACTGATAAATTCACATTTTAAAAAACGGCAAGAGCCTTTCAAGATGGATTAAAGTCTGTTCAAACTACATCGTAGGTTGATTTGAAAGGCAATATGAAATCTGTATATATAATCTGTTTCTTTATTCATGCCAGAGACACAATTAAGGAATCAAATTTTTTAAATCCAACATCTTGGATTACAGTGTTTGAACATCACAAGGCACACTCGGGTGTTCAGTTAATCCTCCTAAAGTTGATGTTTTGTTTTTAGATCCAGTTTCTTGGTCCCTTTTTCTTTCAGCTGCGGTGCTCACTGCATTGTGTTGTTATCGTACAGTAGTGCTGTATTCCTCGCTACAGGGCAAATTTGACATCAGGGACAGCAGAGTCTCAAACGTGAAGCGGATTAGTTTAGAGCTGCAGAAGCCGAGAGGAAGAGCAGCTTACTGGAGTTAAAGAGCAGAACAACGACAACAAAAAAGAAAACAGATTCATAATGAAGTGAGTGGGAGCCGGTTTGTTTCTATTCTGCCCCGATTTCCTTGTTAAACATGAATCAAGGCATCACAAATCACATCAGTGTGGCTATGAATCACCACAGCTCCCCTCAGGATGTAGAGCCCCCCCCCCCGACCCAACCACCACCACCTCGTCCCCCCCATGCCCCACTTGAATTCACTTCATTTCACTTCAGAGAATCTGTATTGATACAGAATTAACATCCTCGCTCCACATTATTTCCGAACATGGTAATCATGATAACTTTGTCATAACAAATGCTGCAGCTTTGTCATTAAACAGAATAAGATGACACACAAACAAACAAATCAAAAAAACAAACAGACGTTACAGTTGAACATTCAGGCTAATGGTATGGTCTCAACATGTAGACAAATGCCTAAAAAAACAAGGCTCAAGCTGTTGCCCACAGCAAACTAAATGAACCCATCGCAACATTATACTTCCCGTTTATATGCCCCAAAGCATTATGGGAACTATTAGCCTGGTATAGAAAGGCAAATGCGAATTAGATGATTAGCTATTAATCAGTCTGGAACCTCTCAGTTAATTGTCGATTTCCACGCCAGGGTGTTATCAACAGGCGCAGACCTACAGTAAATGCCTCTGGACGCAATTGGATAGACCTGGAACCAATCAAAGCAACAAAATGTGTGACGTATGGTGGTCAGTAATTACTTTAACTTTGTCTTAATCCTGTTGGAAGTACAGCAAACACATTTTTCTTATCAACAAAAGTTTTAAGGACAGTTGTTTAGTCTTCTATTAGAGAAAATGTACCATCCAGTTTGTTTAATGTCACAAAGGCGCTCCTGTCGTATCAAAACCCGCCCCATATTATAAAAACTGTTGTGATTGGCTAGAACTACAGCCAAGAGTTTAAATTAGGATTTTGTTTTTTCAACGGAAGCATGGATAAGGTTCCTGGCATAGGCGTCGTTAGACCCTATTTATTGGGGCTCACCAAATTCAGTCGGACGCCCCTCACCAATACACCATCCTCCCATTTAGGGGGGTCAGATTAGGGGTGTGACGAAACACTGAGACATGACATTGCACAAGATTGGTGTCCATGACTACAAGACAGGAATATTTTATAATATGTCTACCACTTAGAAAAAAATATTATTGATGAAACATTTGATACGGGGGTCTGGGGGTCTTGCCCCAGAAGATTTTGAGCATTAAAACATTAACTTTCCTGCATTCTGGAGACATTTTTTGCAACAATTTATGTGTTTTATTTATGTGGAAATGTCTTTATTTTTATAACGGGAAACTTGAAATTCAGGTGGCAGGTGACAATTCAGAATATAAAAATATAATAGAATATAATGGAGGAATCAGTAGCTTATTTTTGTTTGGCTTAAGTTACTGTTTTTGGACAACGCAGAGGTTTCTTCTATATTTACTTTGCATAGCATTTTATTTCTTAAAGAGGTGGTATTATGCTTTTTGGCTTTTCCCCTCTCCTTTATTGAGTTATCTCCCTTTTTTTGTGCATATAACAGGTTTGTAAAGTGAAAAAGCCCAAAGTCCAGCCCAAAGGGAGTTCCCATCTCCCACAGAAAGCTCTGCTCTGAACCGCTTCAAAACAGCTCGTTTGTAGTCCAGCCGTTTCCCTTCCTTGACTGTGACGTCACAATGAAAACGTGTCATAAAGCTTGCAAAACGGCTAGCGGGGTCAGGCACGCCCTCAAACCAAGCCAGTCTGAGCGAAGGCCCTTTGATTTTAGTTAAGCCCCTTTTCCACTGCACAGTACTAGCTCGATTTGGCTTTGTTTAGTTTTCCATTGTAGAAATGTTGTACCTGTACCTGCTTCCAGGTACTTTTTTTCGTATCACCTCACCTCCGTCGAGGTTCCAAGCGAGCTGAGGGATACTAAAATGTAATGTGAAAACACGACAGACTGCTGATTGGTCAGAGAGAATATTCACTAATCACTGCATCATCATTGCTGCACCAGACAGAGGCCAGCAACAGAAAGTTTTATATTTTACAGTTTTCGTATGTAATTTCATCACTAAATGCACTTCTGAGAAGTTTTGAGGTGAGAAATCAGCTGTGTAGATTTTAAATATTGACATTTTACGAGAAGTGATGGCGGAACAAAAATGTGCTTGAATATTTTCGGAGTTGAGGAGCTCCGCAAGTGGCTGCGGGGGAAGCCTGCGCCAACCTGCGGGAGGAGCGTGTGAGGCCGGCCAGCCGCCTGCTCACAGAGCCCTCTGCTCCCGCCGTCACACAGACCGCTGCAGCAACAACGGCAGAGGAAAACACAGCTGGAAGGTTTTCATACCGCTTATCTGTCTTTACATTCTGAGGAATGTTGAAACGTTACGTTGCGGCAGTTGTGTGTGGCGTCGCTATGACAACAAGCTACGTACTATCTCTGGGTACTATCTGCAATGGAAAATGGAG